GTTGGCTGATTAGAAATTAAGTGTTAACAAGCAGTTGGACAGGTGTACCTAATAAAGTGGCCGGTGAGTGTAAGCTTTATGTTTTATTGTGTTATCCATTTATGTTAATGTTATTGTGTTTTATATGCAGTGCCATTTATATGATAAATAAAATGAATGAATGAAAAAATATATACATTCAAACAATAATAATCTACAAATAACAAAAACAAAACAAATAACAAAAATGTTAACTCCTTCTCGAACAACAATTTATACAGATACTCATTATACTATTCCATGTTGTTTTTGAATAAACCAACTTTTATCATTTTCTTAAACATTGACATTATCTGGCCTTTTTAACTTTACTCTCTAGTTCTGTAATATTATTCCTTAGACTGAAGTACATCTTTCCTTTAAACTGGTTCGAAATTTAGGTTTAACAAACATTTCAATCCTTTTAAGATAATAATAACTCACTCTCTTAAAATTTAATTGGATGTTTAACAGTAATGTGTTTTTGTGAGCCTTATTCATAAAACACATTTAAAAAGTGCTGACCCATTTACCAAATCATTCACATATAAAATAAACAACATTGGACCAAGTACACAACCTTGAGGAACTCCACGTTATATTAGAGTTCAGATCTTACATTATTTATTTGTACAAACTGTTTCCTGATTTTTCAAATAGCTATATACCCACTGTAGTCCTGTAATATATTTTTCCTCTAATGCCATATTTATTCAGTTTTTCAAGGAGAATACTGTGGTTAATAATGTTGAATGCCTTCTTTAAATTAACATAAACACTAACACAGAATTGTTTTAGATCAACAGCACTTGTTATTTGTTCTATTAACATATTTACAACTTGGTTTTTTTTAGGATAATATCAGATCTAAACTTTTTTTATCTGCTATGGAGTAAAAAAAATCCTAACTTTTTTCAATATATTCATCATGAAATGGATTTTGTTTCTTCTCCAGCTGACCGGAGGAGAGCTGCACTTCAGATACAGATGTGGAAACACCTCCCCGAACACCCTGCTGGTCAGATCTGACCCAGTATCAGACGGCCGCTGGCACAGTGTCCTGCTGCAGGTCAACACCTCGTCTCTGAAACTGACTCTGGACCGGCAGCATCCAGCGTCCATCAGCCTGACGGAGCCTTGCAGGATGGTGCGCTCCCACGGCGCCCTGCTGTTCGCTCCTCTCCCGAAGGACTCCGCTCAGGGTTTGGGCGAGGACGCGCACAGTTTCGGCGGCTGCCTCGACGGCCTGAAGCTGAACGGGGAGCCGGTGGCAGCGGGGGATCCGGCGGCGGAGTGGGCGGGGCCAGGGAGTAGGAGGACGTTTGGAGTGTATCAGTGCTGCAGCAGGACCGCGGGCTGCGACAGACGACCCTGTCAGAACGGAGGAGTCTGCAGGGAGGATGAAACTGGAGGTGAGGGACGTTTAATACAAACCTTGTTAAATCATCGGCACAACAAACCTCATTTATGCACAAATTTATAAAACACACGGATTGTAGGAGTGCACAGAAATGAACAAGGAAAAATACGAAGAATCAGATTAAAATAAAATCTGGAAATTTGTGCCTCCTCAAAATCCTCCCCTGTAAAGTTTCTTATTTAGGTTTTAAATTAAATGAATCATGAGTCACAACAAGCGGCGCATGATATGATGTCATCATCCTGAGACAATAGCAACTCCAATGCAGCTAAAGCTTCCCTACAAGACTTCAAACTGCTGGACCACCGGGACCACCCATATTGTTTTTATCAACACATTTTGAATTTAGATTTTAAATATTATTTTTTGCAGAGTTAGTAGCGGCTACCGGTGGCAAGCAGCGGCCATTGTTGAGGTTTGACGCTGGATGATGACATCATGCTGTTTATCTGATGCTAACGTCTGTTAACGCTTCTAACGCTGCTGAAGATTGATTGATTTGATTTATTTATTTAACAGGAAAAGGTTATTGAGTTTAGTTTAAATTCAGAATACTTTACTTTCTTAAACTCAAAATTTAGATGTTTTTTCTGAGAATTTTGAGAAAAAAGTCAAAATTCTGACATTTTTCATAATAAAAAGAATTTTGACGCTGAATTTTGACAGAATTATTATTTTCAAGTGACCCTAATCCTCTTTTATAAAAAAAAAGACTTCTTACTGTTGTTGTTGTTGTTGTTGTTGTTGTTGTTGTTGTTGTTTTTTTTTTTTTTTACCTGACTAGCAGCAGACAGGTGCACCTGCAAAGAGGTTTTAAATGTTATTCTCACAGTTAAACTGAGTGCCGGCACCTTTTGTACTAAAGGGCAGAGTTCAAATTAAACACATGACTGCAGGAGAAACATATCTTTGCTTTGAAGGAAACATGGAAACATAAAAACCTTCCAGCTGGTGATAAAAAGCTGCAGCCTGGTGCAGGGTTACTTCCATCCACAGAGCTGCATCATGTTTTCTTCTCTCTGCACAAAATGAAACTGTGAGTGGAAAAGTTTCAGCTCAGGATTTTATTTATCATTGTGTCAAATTACATTATAGTTAAGCTTTGATTTGATTTTGATTTGATTTATTTATTTAACAGGAAAATATTATTAAAAATCAAGCCTGACTCAGCAT